AACTCAATGCTGCATTATATTCTAAGGAAAAGTGTGGGCAAGTTGTAGTTCCGACCATAAAATATCAGTTATTAAAATTGTAAAATACTTTTTTTTTTTTGTCCTTTTATAATGAAACTTAGACATATATATTATCATGTGTTAGTAACGAGAATCTACCTAACATTTTGAGCTGTGCATCGGATTCTGTATATGTAGGGGAGTTGCGGTAGTCATTCTGCATGATGTGGATCAGTCGATGTCATAAAGGCTATATTTAACCTGTTACCAACCTCCTCTCTTTACGAAAAGTAATGAAAATGAACCAAAACATGAGAGACCCACTTTTGCCCTTGCAAGGACTCAAGGCACGTCTCTTTTTATCTTAAACCAAATGGTATAATAATCAGATGCTTTAGAGTAGGGCTTGTTCTACTGATGATTAGGACACATTCACACTCAGTTTAATTGCAACAATCAATTGTTTGTACATTTAGAGCCTTGAAATTTAAAGCACAACTTAGTAGTTACTGCTTATTTATATGAGATATGATATTTGTGGCATATCCTGTCTAATTTCTTGAGTTCTTGAATCTAATCTAATTAAGGAACAAATAACTAAATTAGTACATTAATTATGACAACACAAGCGGATTAGCTAGATACTATATATATACATACTCTCTTTTAATTAGCATTCGATAACTATATATGTTTCATTTGAATAATTATATGTTATTTAATGATTAATTTTTTATATTTTAATGAAATTTATAGATTGATATATTTCAACTCATTTAATAATATATGTAATTATATATTGTGAAAAATCATTGTGAGAAAAATAATTAAATAGTTGGATCATTCATGTATTTTTATTGTTTAACCAAATTTTAATTCCTCAAACTAAATTTGGCATTATTTTTTTACCTCATATAACAATGATAATTTCATCCACAGGGAAAGATAGCTTATAGACGGATAACTTTTAAGATGTGTTTAGATGAATAAACTTTATGAAAGATTTCGACTGAAAAGAAAGTAAAACTTATTTTCCCTTTTTTTTTTTTTTGTAAATTTTTATTTTAATATAAAATAGAAACAATACCCAAGCTTCAAAACCCCCCTGACAATAGGATGTGGCAACTAGCAACAGCTTATATTATATAGTTGTTCTGTTGGAGATCTTTCCCTGATGCTGCTGACTACTGTCTTCAAATAATAATAATAATAATAATTTTAGTTTTTCCTAGTTGAGGTTTAGGATATTTTTGGATTTTAGTTACTTTCATTTGATTCTGTTCAGTATTTGTTTATTATTTAAGGTTCTCTGCCATAAAACATTTTTTTTAAAGGAAAAAAAAAAAAAGAGTGAGAGAGAGAGAACATCTCAAGAATCTAGATGATCAGTGAATAATTCAATGGGAAA